GAGAAAGTGACATGTGAGCAAAGACTTGAATGAGTTGTGGAAGTTATTCATTTAGAGTCTGGACAAAGAACAGTCCAAGCAAAGAAAATAGCCAGTACAAAGGTCTGGTCCATGCCAAATGTACAGCAAGGAAGCAAGGAAAAACAACAAGGAAGTCAGAGTGGCTGGATAGACTGAGGGAAGGAGAGAACCAGAGGAAGTAAAATCAGGAGGAAAATGGAGGGGCTACACATGTATGTCCTTACAGAATGACATAACGACCCCACTTTTACTTTGAGTGGATGGGACACTGCTGGCTGGTTTGAACAGGGCAGTGCCATGATATGACTACTTCTTCTAAGTATCCCTCCAACTGATATATGGAGAATCTGCTAGAGCAGACCGGGACAGATTTTTTTTTTATTTTTTATTTTTTGGTCCTGAGCAAGTGAAAAGGTGGGGGAAACTAAGGTGGAGAAGACTAGATCCAGAACTAGTTTTGTTAAGTGTGAAATGACAATTTGGCATTCAAGTGGAGATATCAATTTGGCAAGTGGATATCTGAGTCAAGTTCAGGAGAAGGATGTGCTAAACATAACTTTTGGAGTCATCAGCATATGGACAGTATCTAATGCTCTTATATAAGATCACTAAGGCAATGAGTATAAATAGATAAAAGGAGAATTCAAAGGACAGAGCACATCTTTGGGGCATTCCAAAATTAAGATATCAAAGAGAAAATAAATCCAGAAAGAATATAAAAAGTAGTCATTCGGGAAGAAAAACACACAGAAGAGCATGTTAGGCTGGAAGCCAAGTGAAAAATGTGTACCAGAGAGGAGGGAGTAATCATCTATATCCAAGCTCTCAATAGGTCATGTAGTATGAGGCTAGAGAACCAACCACTGGATTTGGCAACATAAAAGTCACTTGTGACCCTGATGAAAACAGTCTCAGGGGAGAAAGTGGATGTGGGTGTGGAAGCCTTATTGAATGGAATAAGAAAGAATGCCTGGAGGGCAACTGGAAACAACGAGTGTAGAAAACTCAATTGAGTTTTGCTATAAAAAGGAAGAGAAAATTGTAGTTGTAACTGGAGAGAAAAGTGGAGTCACGAGAAATTCTTTTTTAAGATGAGAGAAGAGCAACATGTTTGTATACTGAGCCAGTAGGAAAAGGGAAAGAGGGCGCCTGGGTGGCTCAGTTGGTTAAGCGACTGCCTTCAGCTCAGGTCATGATCCTGGAGTCCCGGGATCGAGTCCCGCATCAGGCTCCCAGCTCCATGGGGAGTCTGCTTCTCCCTCTGACCTTCTCCTCGCTCATGCTCTCTCTCACTGTCTCTCTCTTCTCTCAAATAAATAAATAAAATGTTTAAAAAAAAAAAAAAGGGAAAGACTGACAACACAGGAGAAAGAAAGGAAGGTTGCAGGAGCCCTGTGCTTGAGTAGGCGTAAAGGGCTGATATCCAACACCAAAGTAGAGGAGGCGACCTTACATAGGAGCAGGAGCACTTCCTCTGCAGCAGGAAGAGGGAGTAGTCCGTGAGTGCAAATGCATGAAGGCAGAAAGTGTGAGAACGTCAGCATGTGGTGCTTCTCTTCTGATGATTCCTATTTTTCAAGCAAAACTGGAGACAAGGTCCTCATTTGAAAATTAGGAGGAAGGGGAGGTGTCAGAAGACTGAGAGGAGAAGGTACACAATAATTGTCAGGAGAGAGGGAGGGTAAGCTACCCAGAGACACCAAGGACCGCCGGAGGTGGGGGTGGTTGATGGCATGCCTGATCAGCACGGCTGTGTCTTGTGCAGCCACATTTACTCTGCAGAGGCAGGAACATGGCAGTGGAGAGGTAGACTCAACTAAGGTCAGGCTTCTGTCCAGTAAGAAGGATGAAATAAGAGGAGAAGAGAGTTGATGATATGGACAGGGATGATTTATAACCATTGCCCCAGATTATTAAGCACTGCAGGGAGGGAGCCAGGCCCCTGAAGGGAAGGAAAACCAGTGAAAGGGAGGTATAATCAAAGCAGCCCTGTAGCTCTGGGAGAATCCAAGGATTGCTGGGATTGGGGTCCCAGAGGGAGTGAGCTCAACATATAAAAGGCGGTGGTCAGAGTGGGAAGAACTGAAGGTGGGGTCCTGAAGGAGCTGTGGTTCCCAGGAACAAGTAAGAGAATGAGTGGCCGAGTTAGGAGTTGAGAAGGTGACTGGGAAAGACTCTGTCAAGGAAATGAGAGGGCAGAATAATGGGAGGGTCACCTTCCTGGATCTGGAAACCACCACGGATAACAACAGCAATGTTGGGAGGATGGCAGTGAGATGGGGGCTGAAATCTTCAGGGAAGTTAAGAGTGACCCAGAGATGAGTAGGTTACAAATAGAAGGCAAAGTGATTCAGCCTGCTTGTCTCTCTCTCTGGGTCTCAGTTTCCTCACGTTTAAGTTGGAAATGCTGACAGTCCTTCCATCATGAGATTTTTCTAAGGATTAAGTGAGATGCTGCAGGTAGAACATCTGTCACCCATTGGGACTGGCAGATTTTAACACACAGAAAATGGAATTATTTTTAAAAGGGTCCTTGTGAACTCCTGGGTGAGTGTCTCATCTACTTCCAGCTAAAGTTGGGAGAGTGTGACCCGGAAGGCTTACTGAGCTCAGGGGTGGCCCAATAAATCACAATCATCATAATTTCCCAGAGACATCCACCTGTGGTCCTCTCTGGTAAGCCTGGGCCTGGCCATGAGCACCTCCACCATCTGCAGCTGTCCTTATCCATGTCACCTCTGTCTTCTCGGCAGGCCTGAGTTTTCTCTAAGTCTTCCAGCCATCTGCAGACACCAGGTTTGTTGTCTCCCAGTCTGTCTAATGCAGAAGGCAAAAGCAAACTACATGCTTTGGCTACACTGTCGAGTGGGTCCCCCCAACTTTTTATGGCCAGGTTAGCTGCAAGAGCCCAGGGAAGCTAAAACCTCGTGTTGTGAACCGTGCTGAGCGCAGAACCATGCAGAGGCTCTAGGGCAGTACAATCTGATGTTCTAGCATGGGGAGCTTGGGCCATGGGCTAGGTCAAGCCCTTTCCATTTCTTCTCTGTATCTAACCATGCACTCAGCTCTAGGCAGGAGTTTCTACCAAGAGATGAGGTCATGTCTAACTAACGGGGAAGTGTCTGCCTTACCAAGAACAGGTGACAATATTCAGAGACTCCTCCTTCTCAAGACAGAAACAAGAAAGGTGATGGAGTAGGGGCCAGAAATGCTCAGGACACCTGAGCTGCAGCAGCAGGACTGCCAGAGTTGAACAGGTCCTTTTTGCTGAGCCCAGTCCCTTGAGTTTCCCACCCCTGGTACATCAGGGCTCTCAGAATATCTTAGCTGGAATACATTCTGAGCAAGTTTTACCTAGCATTACTGTTACGCAACCCGGAGAGTGGATGCCTAGCCTCTACCCCACACGAACTCAGACACCACATCTGCCCTGCTCATTGCCAATTTTTCATTGCCTAGTACATAACAGGCCCTCAGTAATGAGGGAGAGAAGGAACACAGGGAGGGAAGGACGGAGGGAGAGATGTTAAGGATGGAGGAGCACAGAATACAGCTCTTCATCTCATCACCCAGCTCTGTGCCAAAACCTAGAAGACTCCAAGTATTCTCCCTGAATCCTTCTCCATGACAGTCTGCCCGAGCTGAGCAGTCATCTCTTTCTACCCAGAATTTTCCTCTTCCTTCTTAAATTATATAGGAAAATGAAGGCCATTCTTGTCAGAAAACATTTTCTTGATCCTCCTCCTAGCAAACAAACACTTACCGCCCTCCTTCTGTAATGCACAGTGGTATTTTGACGTGGCAGTGCTAGAAGGAGACAAGAATCCTTAATTCAGAAAAATAGCTATGCTTCTACAGTTTGCCGGGTTCCCACCTATTTACTGAGGAATCCAAATTCTGGAAAAGCAAACTTGCATTCCTATTTACCAACTACTACTTACCAGTCTGAAGGCTGTTGACATTGATTAACATTAAAAGTGACATTTGGCGCTCCTGTCCTTTCTGAATAGATTTGTTTCGACTAAGAAACAAACAAGGAAACCTCTAGAGGAAAATACTTCTGGGGAGTAGTGGTATGAGGGTGACATAAAACATTTTTTTGTCCAACATTTTGGATCATTATCTGGAATTGAAGCAATCTGCCTGGGGCGGGGGTGAGGGGGGAGAAGCTGGCATGTCACTCAGGAAGGAAATGCAGACTCTCAAAGATTATTCTGAAAGGTGTGCCTAGGGAAGAGAACAGAAGACCCCAGGGGCAACTTATTAACAAAACAAAACAGAGGTCTAAAGACGTTTACTCAACTGGCAAGTAATTTAAGGAGCCATGATTTGCCACAAAAGGATATGCAGTAAGAAAGGAGCCCATTAGTTTTAAATTACATTTGATTTTTAAATTTATAATTTACAAGCAGATTTTCCAGCCCCTAAAAAGAAAGCACACCTATGTGCATTTTTTTTCCAGTTTTAGCCTATCAGCCATATCTTCCAGTAAACTGTCTGTGTACAACAGTCACAACTCTAAGTGGGTAGTAAATGAGTGAAGTGTTATTTCCAGCCTCCAAAGTTCATTTCTTTATCACCCCTCTCTCAGAACTGTGCACAAAGAAGTGCTACCTTGAAAGAGCCAAGATGGGGATCAGAAGCCATCGGAATCCCTTAGAGAACAAGGTTAAAGGACAGATCCTGGGTGTCAGCAGCAGGAATTCTGACTCAGTTTGTGAGGGGCCCTGGGAATCTGCAGTTCCAGCATGCACCCACGGTGACTCCGAAGCAGGTAGCCCTCGGAGCCCACCCTGTCCAATCCCAGTTTAGAGAAGAGGCCCCTCTAAGCTGCTGTGCCTTCTGGACACAGCCCAGCCCTGGTTCCAGTGCTCTCCGTGAGCTCACACTTGGTGGACAGTTACTGATCCACACTGCTGTGCTGTGCCGCTCCGTGGGGCTCGGTGTGACATACCCCTGATTTCTCTTTATTCTGTCAGAACGATTACAGGAAGTTATCTATGCAATGCAAGGATTTTGTGGTGGGCGTGCTGGACCTATGCCGAGACACGGAAGAGGTGGAAGCGATTTTAAATGGCGATGTGAACTTCCAAGTCTGGTCCGACCACCACCGTCCAAGCCTGAGCCGCATCAAACTCGCCATTAAATACGAAGTCAAGAAGGTAAGCTTCCCCACCTCTCCAGGCCTTCCCACTTTGTGGGACTGTTGGCCTAGCTTTGTGCCCAAGCGTATTTTACGTTCCCACGAGGTGACCGTGAAAACACCAATCTCCCGACTGCTCTCTAGACAGAGAATGGCCAGCCTTGCAGGACTGCTCAAAGCTCCTCTCAGTGAGCCCCTCCCTTCACTCCCCAGTCCACCAAGGGAAAGGTAGCAGGACTGTAATTCCACGAGCAGGCTTTGAGCCTGGAAAACAACAGAGGAGATTTTCAGCCTCCAAATGACTGGCAGGGACAATGTGACCTGACATCAGCTAGGACGCCAATTCCCCAGTTTTCCCAAGAAAATGAATCACTCTGGTCTGTCAATAGCACTGATTGAGATCTGTATGTCTAGGGACTTGCTGTGTAGAAATGTTTAGCATGGAGGCTTTGTGGGAGTCAGCGTTCTTGGAGCCTAAAGGAATTTCATTCCAAAGGCTTATGCAAGTACTTAGTAGGAAGCTCAAGGAGACTTTTCACAGGAGTAAGCTTGTCCCACCTCCTCAGTCAACCTCAAGGTGTCTTTAATGGCCACAAGCATCCAGTAGCCCTCAGGCCCACAGTGGGTGGTCAGACTGAAGTCCTAAGCAGCAAAAGTCAATTATGCCTCCACTCTGGATGGACTCTGGATTCTTTAGAATCTGCTCTGACAGCCTTGCAGGACTGCTCAGGATGTCATCCATCCTGATGAAAACTGCAGCGCTCCAAAGATCCATGTGTTTCATTATCATTGTGCTTTGCATATATGCAAAATGGGTGCTCGGCCTTCAAGGGTTTTTATTTTTCCCAGCTATTTCACAGGGTCAATACTGGGGTATTTTCAATGCCCCCAAACTGACCTCTGGGCAATTCTCTTGCTTACGTTAATTTGTATGGAGGGAACCATCTTTCAACAAACCACATGCATCTGTGCAAATCATCTAGTTAGAGCTTCCAAGTTTGAAAAAAATCTTCCTGTCCCTCTTACTTTTAATAATAATAAAAAAAAATCTAGGAAAAATAGCTTTGTTCAAAGACTCTGGGTCCCAAAGGTTAAGTGGACAAATCATAGGAAATGTGGTCTTCAATCACCATTCAAAAGCACAGGGCTATGAAAAGAGAAGAAGCAGGCTATAGCTTCAAGTACAACCTTATTTTCTGGGGTCAGGAAAATTCTCATTTTTTCCACCAATCCCAAGAGCTCAATGAGGCTTTTCATCAAAGCACAGCATTCTTTAATTCAGAAGCTGGTGAAGATACCCATGGCCTTGGAGTTCACACAAACCCTGCAATGGAAGCTATTAGCAGTGGTAATGATGAGCCTGAGTTTCCAGAATCACAAGCATTTGCTTGCTTGCTTCCTTCCTTCCTTCCTTCCTTCCTTCCTTCCTTCCTTCCTTCCCCGCCTCCCAGCACAGGGAAGGAGCATAGGGTGGAAGTGAAGATGTCCCTGAAAACCCGAAGAACAGTAGATGCTTGGCATCTGCAGATTTATATTTGCCATTTGGCTACTTATGAGCAATTGCAATGACCCATTAAATGCAAGTGGTCACCATTTTTCTGAAACATAAATCCAAACCTCTAGCAACACCATCAGTGAGGGTAGATCAGTCAGCTAGTCCAGAAGCCTGGCCGCTACCTCAGAGCTATGTGTTCCCCTTGTTGTCAACTACTGAGTACAAAACTGCCCTGGTGATGAATGAGAAGAAAAAGAGAAGTACGCCATGAACAGGACAGTTCAGGGCACAATAAAAAAGGCTTCATGAGGGAAATTACTTAGCAGTATTTGCCAATTAGAAGTCATAAAGGCCTCAGGAAATATGCATCATGAATGTCAAGTGTCCGCAGCAGTTTGTGGGTGGGAAGAGGATAAACCACCTGCCTAAAAAGTCAGCCTTGCTCATCTGAAACACCTCCAATGGATAAATTCTCTCAAACCATGGGTACCATTATGTAACAGCGGACAGACACAGAGCTTTCCTTGACATTTATTCTATCGTGAATTATAGTGAAAATACCTAATATTAAAAAGATACATTAATATTATAATGAGATTTCATTTTTAATTTATGAACTTTAGCATGCTTCCATGGGCATAATCTAACCCTAGGTCTTTGAGTTATGAAATGACTAGCATCAAAGCCTCTTTATAAATACATTCCCTTTACACCTGATATATATAATAGCTTTAGGGCTAGAATACAGAACCATAAAAAATTCCTAAGCCTCTGCCCACATGATATCAAATCAAACCACTAATTCAGTCATTAAAGCAAACTAATTGTTCTTGGCAGTTTCATGGGCTGCTACTAAGTAAGATCTTGTGTTGTGTTAATAAATTGGGAGATCCTGAGTTAAGTAGAGTCAAAAAGATTTCTTTGTTTAAAGACATTACAGAGCTTTAATATGCTTTGCTACTCTAATTAAAAGAAAAAGAGTACAATATGTATTACTTGACCACAAAACTCTTTCTCATGGAACACTGATGAAACTCGTTTTCCATGCAGATATATCCATGGAAACTCTAATGTCAAATCAGCCTCTTTGAGCTATAAAACGCACAGATCTAAATGAAGTGGATGCCGCCCTGTGGTTGATAATGAGCCCTCGATCGTGTCCCTCACCTAAATGTCTGCCGCTTTTCACGCACCACACGTATGTCTGATCCTCTGGCTGGCTCAGTCATAATATCAGCCTCTATGAGATCAAGACAATTGTCCCACCATTGCACAAGGGACCACCTGGTAAACAGAAAAGAATCATGAAGTAGGTGTCACAAAACCAGATTTTTAGCATGATTCCTTCACTTATGAGCCACGTGGTTTTGGACAAGTCTCTGAAGGTCTCTAAGTCTCATCCTTCCTTCCTTCCATTCCAAAATGGGCATATAAGCTTCTGCTCCCATTTCCTGTGAACCTTCAAATAGGATGATATGAGAGGAAATGCTCTGCAAACTGTAAAGTTCTCTGGAGTTCCACAGAGAAGCATCATTGTTGTCATTCAATGATGTCCCTCTTCCTTGGAACCGGGAGGGGGGGGTCTATTTCCAGAGATATTCCCTAGCTTGTCCTTTGTCTTTTCCCTAGAAAATGCTAGAAACTTCCCCTTGGGTAAGGACATTATCATTATAGCCTAAAATCCTTCCAGAAAAGACAAAAGGCCTTGTGAGGATATGGTTTTTCTCCATGACTTCAGTTTTAAGAAAGTAACTCGGCCTCCCCAAAAACCCACACATATGTGTTATATGAAATGTTAATCATTGTGTTTGGAAGACAGTTTTGGAAAAGTGGCTCAGAAGGTGCCCTTCGAGGTTAATCTTGGCCCAACCACTTATTAATAGAGTCACCTGAGCAAGTCACTTAGCCTCTCCACGTCTCACTTGGTTTATTGAGTATAGATAATAATACCTATTTCCTAGGATTATGATAAGAATCAAATGGGATAAAGTAAGTGTGCCTCAAATAGCATTGTGCCCATCAGCCTGTGGGTATGAATGAAGCGGTACACTATGCACACTACAACGGCTTAGAGCCCATGTTCATGTTACTTAACACATTTCTGTCACCCATCTCAGTCCATACCAGACTTAACAGGCTATGGTCTCTTTGGAAGCCAAGCTTGCCTTATGAAGAAGCAAGGAGGCTTCTCTCCCCAGGCTGAGTCACACATAATCTCAGAAGTAACTCCACTTGGGCCCCATGGATAAAGAAATCAATCCCTCCAACTTTGGCCCACAGCCTGCCATATATAGGCCTTGGTCTTCTTCAGGGCCAATGGGACTGGCAGACATCTTGCTGTCTTCTCCACTTCTAGCTATCTCTGGCCCCACAGAACCATGCCTAATATCTTCTTAAAGGCACTCTTCTCCCTCTGCATATCAATTCTAAATAAATGCTTAGGGAACTTCCAGCTCCACCAACAGGGAAGACCCAACCAGTCTCAAAATCCATTTAGGCTCAGCCAGACCCAGGCGGCAGCCATAAAGGGAGCCCAGTGTCTAGCACGTGGTCATTGCTGACCAGCTGGTCACAGAGATCCAGACTCAATCACTGGTCCTCTCTTCAACTTGATTAACTGAAGACACACATCTGAACCCTTTACTCTCACCCCTCCCTCTCTCTCCTCTTGATCCTTCTTCATCTCTAGGCTCACAGGGATATTATCTTCCTTGCCCCTGCATTATCCCTTGCTTCTTCCTGACTCCAGGTCTGCCTAGATGGGGATCATATAAACCTCCTATTCACTGAAAGAACTTTGTAGACATGTATCATTCAAGTTCAAATGTCACAGGAGAATGGGACAAAGGGACCCCGAAGGTCCAATTTTGCACAATAGAAGCCTTACCTCTACCTAGAGAGGAGATGGAGGTTCTTTGGACTTAACTAAGCAAAAATATATTATTTTTTTAAAAAGGAGAACACATGAATATTTTGTCCAAAATTACATTGGTCCCACTGTAGAGAGCATGTCTATTACCAGGCAGTATCACCAGTAAGGGGGTAGTTGAATCTGACATGTTGTTTCAGCCACTGCCTGTGAGCTCTGTAGACAATGACTGGCCTGCTGGGCATCCCAAGGCGGGTACGATAGTCCTGTTCTCAAAGAGCCATCAGGTGGTAGGTAAGGTGGGGACAGGGATGCTACGACTGTAGCAGCAGCAGCCTCTGCACCTCACTAGCTGAGTAAAGTAGAAGTCACAGTAGTCACTTTCAGACTTGCAGGTGGCCCCCCGCTGTCTGGTGTCCTGGCCTGTGGCTTGGTTTGTGGAACCTAAGCATGGCACTGGCCATCTTTCCTCCCAACTAATGACACTCCCTATCCTCCTATGGGAGCAGTTTCACTTTGCTAAGTCTGTCAAACTCTGAGAGCTGCACTTTCCTGAGTCCGCCAAGCTCCTAGGTGATTCCTAGCTCAGAAAGCTAGTCTCACATGAAATAAAGCCCTGGGACAGGACAAAGAGAGGGACAAGGAGTTAAAGGGG